CTTCCTTCCTTCCTTCCTTCCTTCCTTCCTTCCTTCCTTCCTTCCTTCCTTCCTTCCTTCTTTGTTCTTTTTTCTTTTTCCTTTTTTTCAGGACAGGGTTTCTCTGTAGCTTTGGAACCTGTCCTGGAAACTAACTCTTGTAGACCAGGCTGGCCTCAAACTCACAGAGACCTGCTTGCTTTTGCCTCCCAGTGCTGGGATGAAAGGCGTGCGCCACCACCACCCGGCTCTAGATTTTCTTAATAAAAGCCCACGATGCTTTTTGTTTTCTTTTCAAACCCAAATCATTCTTTTAAAAGTAAATGGTTGTCAGTTTTCTTCCTTTCTTCTTTTGAGCAACACTTTAAAATATAGACTTTGAGTCATAACCTATTTCTTTGCTTTCATATTTGCGCGGTGTGTGATACATTTCCCGGGTCTGAACTGTATTATATTATACAAATAAAATCTCCAGATCGGAGCTGCAAATACACTTATCTTAATCTGGCAACCCGATGAGACAATTGAAAGATATTTTTTCCCTCTCAGTGGGCAGTTATATTTCATTTCATTGTTAGGGTGTTTGCAGAAATCCGAGTTATAACACGTTTCTCCCTACAGTGTGTACTCCTCAGGATGTACACTGAGATTGTTTATCCCCAACGAAAGGCGTGTGTCCTTTCTCTGCACGCATTGACTTGTTTGGATTTCTGTTTGCTTGTGTTCCGCTCTAGACTGTTGGAAAGAGAAAGTCTGCTTTCTCAGCAGGACAGGAAGGCCTGCAAAGCTTCCTCCCTGCAAGAGCCCAGAGCCTGCTGCTGGGCCTGCGGAGAGAACAGCCAAACTAGGCCAGGTCTCGCCTCCTCTCGTCCGCCCCCTCCCACCCCCGCCCCATACGCATAGCGGGAGTTGGGGAGTCGCCTCCCACATCACATCTTCCGCTCTTATTAGATCTATTTTAATTTTTCTCTCTGGTTCCCTAGAGGACACTGGGAGCCAGCACACAATGCTAGGGTGGTATCAAACAGCTCAGCAGACGACCCCGGAAGGATGAATCATACGCCTGCTTCCTTCACAGAAGCCGGATTAGTCCTGAATAACGTTCTGCAGCAAACTCTTTCCCATAGAAAGGCGGCCTTCAGCGGACCTTTCTTTGTTGCCTTTGTAACAAGTCTGTTTATTCATTCAGTCAGTGTGACTGCTTTGGAGCAAAAACGAATATCTATAATTTTCCTGGCCTGATGTTCTTCTCATCCAGGAGTTTTAATATAAACGTAAAAGAGTCAATTATACCTTACAAGTCTTTAAGTAAAACATCGAATGAGGCTTACATTAATTAGTGTGAAATGAACTTACCTGTACTAAGTCAGTACGTATATGGTGACACAGATTCAAGTTTCTCCACCCACCAACCTTTAATCTCCGCGTAGTTCCAGCCTTAGGTCTCCAGAGACCGGAAATCCTAAAGAGCTGTATTAACTCCAGAGATATACACACACACACACATTTTCCCCCCCTCTGCCTGTGGTTTTTCTTCCTGTCTAGTGCTGCCCTCTGGTGACCATTTAAAAAATTGCATGCCATAGATTTTTGCAGTTTAGTGTAAGGTAAATAATGAACAATCAATAAAAGTATGCAATATACTTCAGTTTGTTTGTATTAATTTTTAACATATCAAATAAAGTCGGGACAGATCATACTCCATTCTGGAATTTTCCTGTTTAGGAATATTAAACACGGGTCAGGTATTCAGACGTGTATCCCCATAAGCTATCTAAGTTTGCTTTCTGCTTGGGCTGAGAAAAGCAGATAAATTTAGCCCAAAGGACTAAGTTTTCCTTTATAGCTTCCCTCTTTAATTTTAGAGACCATTCTTTCTAACTGCTCCAAATGCTAGTCTTACTGATAGACTAGCTCGGCAGCAGCCGGCAGCGTTTGTCCGACACAGAGGAGGAGGAAGGCAGGGAGCTCCCGTCTCACACTGTAGTTCTTGCCACATACTAGAACTTCAGAATGTCTGATAATTGTCCACCCTGCACGATATGTTGGAGTGAACGACTATGTAGGGAAAGGATCAGTGCATCCATGTTGCAGCAACCTTGAACCTGAGAGAGTGGTGTGTGTGTATGTTTATGTGTTTGTGTGTGTATGTTTATGTGTGTATGTGTGTGTTCACATGTGTGTGTGCATGCTTGCGTGTGTGTATGCATGTGTATGTGTTTATGTGTGTTTGTGTGTATGCATGTGTATGTTTACGTGTGTGCATGTGTGTGCATGCATGCATGTGCGTGTGTGTGTGCATACATGTGTGTGTGCATTGTGTGTGTGTGTGTGTGTGTGTGTGAGAGAGAGAGAGAGAGAGAGAGAGAGAGAAGACAGAAGGAAAAGTGCAGTGACTGTGTTGACTTCATGTGGGAGTTAAAGTTACGTCTCAGGCATCATTTCTTCTCAGAAGACCCCATATAGGAGGTAGGGATTGTTGCCCTTATTTAATGATGGAGAACCTCTGGCCTAAAAGGATTGATCAAGGCTGCTTGGCTTAAAGTGAAATCCATGTTGGCCTGGCTCTAAGGCCTTCTATCTTTCTAGGACATCACTGGATAAGTAACTGGTTAGAGGGTTTCAGAAGATGTTGGTGTTCTTTGATGGGGTTTATCCTTGACTGGTTTGGGAACTTGCTGCTTTCCCAGCATCCCGATGCTCTGACTGCAATCCAGTATGGAGGAGGAGCAACAAGAAAAAAGAGGGAGAAGTGTACTTTTACAACTCCTTAAGGACCTTAGGTAGGGTGGGGTCATTGCTCAGTGGCTCATTTTGGTCAAGATTCTTTTGTGGATGTGTGCATAAGCTAAAGAAGCTCCCTAAAGCCCAAGATGTCCAGCCGAGCCTGCTCCTGGTCAGTGTTCAAGGCAGACACAAACACAAGGGTGCTCCAGCTCAGCCGGCCCCTGGTCCAGGTTCTAGGCACACACGAAGCACAAGGATGCTCCAGCCGAGCCTGTCCCTGGTCCGGGTTCAAGGCGGACATTTGAGGAATATAGTTGTAGCACTACAGTCATGCCGGCAGGGACAATGCTTGCTGATTCCTTTTGTTTTCCAGTTACATAGACAGTTACTATGATCCGTTCTGAGAAACAGAAGACCATGAGCAAAACACTGCCCTGACTGGGGCTTTTCCCTTCTGCACAGAGAAGGAGGCTGGAGAAAGGCCTCCGCTATATGTATCAGCTGTTTTCTTTGTAACTTGGACAACAGCTATTGACTCTTGTGGAATCCATGGAAATCATCCTATATTTCCTAACTGAAATATGACATTATTCAAAATTGAAACCCCGAAGGGGCGTACAGTTCCCCACACTGTCATTGCTCTTTCACAGGTAACCCAGTTTTGGGAGAGACCTTTTCTAGGGACTTCTAGGCTGTAAATTAGATTATAAGTCACACTTTCCTTAACTGGAGCTACCCCAAAATGTCTCTCGATCACAATGATGCATCAATGCGTCATTGTCAGCACACATCCTATGAAGTCTATGTTGGGTAGTCCTTCACATGCATGACTAAAAACTGCAATTGCAACAAGATGTCCATGCATTACTTTTGATACACAGCCAGGGGGGAGAATTAAAGTTAGATGAAGTCTCAAACACAAAACAGAGACCTTTACTAGAAGATTTTGTTGCATGAATTCCCTAACGCTCTCCAGGTTTGTTTTGAAAACCGCTGCTGTGGGAAGTCAGTAAGCTGAGGTCACACTGAAGGAGTTTACTTCCTCTTTTTTTTTAAGTTGGTTTTCAGAGTTACTATGAAAGGGCTGGAGAGAGGGCTCAGTGGTTAAGGGGTCTTCTTACACAGCCTGGAGGGCCAGAGTATGGACCCCAGAGTCCTGCACAGGCCTGCGCCTGTGCCTCCATCTCTGAGGGAGTGTGCAGAGACACAGGGGCTGCTAGGGCTTGTTGACTTCCAGCCTAGGAGAAAATGCTAGCCTCAGAATCTGGGGAGACCCCCCCCCAAAAAAAAAACAAGTGGCAAGTGCTGGAGGAGGAAATGTGGTGCCTTCTTCTGGCCTCCATGCATGTGCCTAGGTGTGAGCACCCACACGTACCCAGGAGCACATACAAGCAAAGGTCAGCACACAGAACAAAGGGCCTCATTGTGCTGTTTTCCACAGACTTTGTTCTTTTTCTTTTTGTTTGGAGCTGAGGACAGAAGCCAGGGACTCTACTACTGAGCTAAATAACTAAGCTTATTTTGCTTTCATTTATCCCCATGCCCACTTCTCTCTTCACGGTTTTAGCTCCTTATTACTGATCACCACCGTCCTCGAAATAGCTGCCTTTCTGCTCTCAAGTCACATTCAACTCTCATTCTAAAGTTTTGGGTTTTTTTTTTGTTTGTGGTGTGTATGTGTGTGTGTGTGTGTGTGTGTGTGTGTGTGTGTGTATGGGGGTGTCTGTACATACGTGTGGACATGCATATGAGTGTTGAGGTCAGAGGACAACCTTAAGTATCATTTCTCAGCTGCTGTCTACCTTTCCCTTGGACAGTCTTACTGGCCTGAAACTCACCATGTAGGCTAGACTGGTGGTCTAGCAATCCCCGTTGATCTGTCAGTGTCTGTTTCACCAGGCCTGAGATTACAAACACATGTCCACATGCTCAACCTCGAAAATGTGGGTTCTAAAAGACCAAACTCCAGTTCTCACGTGTGCATGCACTTCCCTGGCTGAGCTATGACACCAATTCTTGATCCCCAAGTTGAAATGTATTTTAACCACTGTCTTGGTCGATTATCACAATTCCTTTGGTAAGGGACAGAAGCAGAAATGGGCCATGTTCACTAACTAGGGTTCTGCTTGTCGACAAACCATGACTTCACCCAAGTCCCAAATGTGCCACCAGAGACTTCTTTCCATTCTGTCCTTCCCTGTTATCCTCAGCTCCCCACTAGCCTCCAGTCCTGTGATTTCTGACTCATCTGGTGCAGGATAATTGTCTGTATTCTGTCAATCATGTTTTAAATAGATGCTGATTGGCCAGGCAGGAAGTATAGGTGAGTCAACCAGACAGGAAGTATAGGTGGGTCAACCAGACAGGAAGTAGAGGCAGGACGATGAGAATAGGAGTATTCTGGGAAACAGGAAGCTCCCTCTGCCATTCCTGCCCAGACCACCGAGAAGCAAGATGTAACCTGCCCAGCTGAGAAAGGTACTGAGCCATGTGGCTAACGTAGATAAGAATAATGGGTTAGTATAAGCTTTAAGAGCTAATAAGAAGACTGAGCTAATGGGCCAATCAGTTTTATAACTTATGGAGATCTCTGTGTAATTTTCTTTGGGGCTTGTTGGTTGTGGGGTACCGGGCAGGACAGAAACCCCAACAAGCAGGCCCCTTCATGTTACACTCACCTGCTCATGAGACCACGTCCTTTCCAAACCATCTTTGACACAAACGTCCAGCCTCAGCTCTGTCCCCATGGCTCCATGCTTGCTGTCCACACATAAGTTTGCTGCCAGGTTCCGAATCTGTAGCAGGAAGAACACATCAAGCATGGGGCTGTGTCATTACCCTCCTGACAATCCTGGGATGGATCAAGGTCTCCCTCAGTTTATCTTTTTGATGACGCTACTAGAAAGACACCTTGAATGTATATGCAGTTTGTCTAGAAAAATGAGGACATACAATATAACATAGTCTAGGTGGAAGAACATGACATTGTCAAAAGGCAAAATTGAAGCTTGTTGCAGCCAAGTTAGTTTTTGATGGTGTGGCAGAGGGAGTCGGGTAGACCCTTGACTTCTACAATGAGAGTGTTTTCTTGCTTAGATTCTACTTTAAGCACCTCTACCGTTACCCTCCCAGTGGGGAGAGAGTCCAGGCAGGTGTATGGTTAAGGTGTATGATTAAGGAAAGGAGTCCTCCAGCATTCCACAGCTCTGAGCAGGTTTTAGGGACCTCTGGTTCCAGTTTAGCTGCAATTGGCTGTTGTCATAGGTTAGCACTTCTCCTAAATGGTAAATTAAATCTGAGAGGATTAACTATCCTAGCTGACGATTATATACACATTTCATAATACAATTATTTCCAGTTATCATCTTAATATGATATAGGGGTAAATAAAGGGAAATAATGAAGAAATATTTAGAGCAGAAACAGCGACAGATGTGGAGGCTGGACAGGGGCAGATCATTGTAGTGTCCTTCTTGGAGTGTCCAACAATCCTCTGCTGGCACCATCACCATAGCCTGTAGTAGGGCAAGAATCTTTACGTAAAGTCTAAGAAAGTTAAAAATAAAGGCTTCAAGACCCACAAAAATGGGAGCCAAGCACAGCTTCTTGTTAACTGCAGTTTTTCAGATAGACTCTGTTTGCAAGGGAAGCGCAGCAAAAACTGCTCAGCTTCTTTTAAAAAAACATCAGCTTCCTGGTTCAGCAGTACAAAGGGCTCTAACTCTTTTGGAAGGTCTGGCTGTGGAGCATTTAAATGGAGCTGTGAGTAGAGTGCTACAACTTCCTTAATGGCAGCATAGACCCACTGTGAAACTGAAAATGGGACTGTGAGAATGGCTCTCAGAAGCAGCAAACAGGCCTCTGCCATGTTGAACTGGGTGGAGCCAACAGGCAGGACTGCAGAGTTGATCTAGCCATGCCCACTTAGCATTTTTTTAAAAGTGGTCCTGGTCAGAAAATGATTACAGATGTTCAATAAAGACAGATTCAGATAAAAAAGACTTCTAAATGGGTAACACAGTTATAATATAAAAGAGTACAGTCAGTCATAGGTTAAAGGAATAAGATAGTAAAATAAATATTAAACTTGTTAAAAAATAATAGAGTACAGTAAGAAAAATAAGCCAAATAAAAATGGAAATACACAGAGAGTCTAGATTATGTATATTATTGTGTTTTCTTTGAATTTTTTGACTGTAAATGAGCTAAATACAAAGAGATATTTTATTGTATAGACTGCTAAGCTAAACCAACATATATATTTTAAAGGTATCTTGACTTCAAAATTTGGATCTAAGGATTTGCTGCTTTGGAAAAGAGGTTCTTCTCTTGTTTCCACAGAGAATGAGAACCTATGGATTCCTTCCAGATTAATGTGGTTTGGTGCACCAAGATCCCTTAAAGATCTCCATGAACCCTAAAATTACACCACTCAACAAAAAGCAGGAAGTAGTTTGGAGAGAACTATGCCCAAATTCCCAAATATCGTTTATAAATGTTTGTTTAAAGGGGGATATGCTATAGAGATTTGCCTTGGTATGGATCTTGGTTTATTGATACAAATTTAAGGTCAATTTTGTAATATGTATAGTTCTACTCTTGATTAAGGCATTGTGTTTGTGCAATTCATTTAAAAATGTAATGTATAATTAAGAAATACAGGTTCATAGATAGTCATCTATAATAGTCAATTTTGTAGTCATGTTAGTTAGGTTTTCTAGATGTACAGTGATATATTTCAGATGGGTAGGTATTCTTCAAACCTTTCAAAGACCCAGAGAATGTGGTATTTAAATATTTTAAGAACTTAGTTTTTTCTCAACAATGAGGCATGTCTGCTCCTGGCAGCACCAGTCTACTTCAAGAGAATGATGGGCATCAAAGAGGCTCCTCATGCAGTTTGTTAGCATTTGGGCAAGAAACTTCTTTTGCCTGAACTGCTTGACTGGACTTGCAGGACCCACAGAGAATCCATGTAGCTGCCAAAGGAGACAGATGCCAGATCTTTGCCTGGTAAAGCCACAGCCACATGGTGATACACTGATTAATAGAAATGTGTTAATTTAAGATATAAGAGCTAGCTAGAAAGATGCTTAAGCTACTGGTTAAACAGTATTGCAAATAATATAGCCTCTGAGTGATTATTTCAGGTCTGGGCATCCAAGAATGAATGAGCAGCCCCCATCAACAGGTTGACTGCTGAAGTTGCCTAAAGAAGGCAAGGCAGTTCTTTGGGGTTCCTGCTTTATGAAAGAGTCTTCCAGATATTCTGCAGGACACAGAAGAAAGTGACCGACAAATTGACAATATAGACAGAACTATCTTGAAATTTTCTGCTTCATGAAAAAGTCTTCCAGATACTATGGGCCCATAGACTGAAGATGGATGCCCACAACATTACAGAAGAACTTTAGGTGACTATTCAGGTAGCAAGATGTCTCTGTCAATTCTAGAGTTTTCAAAGTTGCTTTTTCAAAGTAAAAATTTCCTTTTTACTTAGGTGATATTATATCCTTCTGAGTCTTTGATGGAGTTGAAAAATAGATAATTATAATTATAGTTTCCCTTAGTTATGATAAAAGTTAATGTAGATATAAATATTGTAACTGCAATTCATGCTTGACACCTGTTTTGTTATATGTAATTTTACTATGTTAAAATTAAAACCTTCCTTTTTATTTGAACAGAAAAGAAGAAATGGTGTGGGAAGTCCTTCTGTATATGTGTTGCTTTTATTGGTTAATGGATAAAGAAATTGCTTTGGTCTGTGATAGAGCAGAATAGAGCTAGGTGGGAAAACTAAACTGAATGCTGGGAGAAAGTAGGTGGAGTCAATGAGAAGCTATGTAGCTGCCTGCAGGAGACAGACATGCTGGAACCTTGCCAGTAAGCCACAGCCATGTGGCGATACACAAATTAATGAATACATGTTAATTTAGAATATAAGAACTAAATAAAAATATGCTTAAGCTATTGGCCAAACATTGCAAAAATATAGTTTCTGTGTGATTATTTTGTGTCAGGATGATCAGGGAACAAACGAGTAGTCTCTGCCAACACAGGGGTTCATAAGAGTGAACTTGATTTCTCATCAAAGCACGGCTAGTTGATCATCAATTAAAGAAAATATTAGCTTCATCTTTTGGAAAAAAGGACTAAGGGTAGACTTTATTCTGTGATTTTGAAAGGAGGAAGGGCAAGAGAGGAAAAAAAGGTTTTTGTAAATCCATTTTTCATTATGTGTGATAATGCACACTTGTACTTCTTTAGTAAAATAGGAACACAAAGAGTTAGATTTCACCTTCGCTGTCACCTTTGTGTGTGTGTGTGTGTGTGTGTGTGTGTGTGTGTGTGTGTGTGTGTGATGGGCAGTACCCTGCTTTATATCTCAGACCACCCTGGAACTTTTGAGCCTCTGTCTTCAGCCATCAGCCATCTCTACTGGGCCCAGTGTGCTTTTACTGTGTTGAGCACAGCTCAATCTAAAAAGCTCTGGTTTTATGTATGTTCTCCTCTGCGTCCAGTGTGTCACCTTTCTGAAACTTTCTGTCACCTGAATAACAGCCTAATAGCACCCTGAGAAGTTTTTTTTTTTTTTTTAACCGCTGGGCCCTACATTCCCCTGATGCAGTCTTGTTAGAGAAGGGTTTGCAAAGCATACGCTGACGTCACTTCCATGGTGCGACTCTTCCCTCTGAGGAAATCTAAGTGCTCCAAACTGCATTTACGAGGGGGAAGCAGCTGTTTTTATATTTGCAACCACTTTGCCACCGGAGAGGCTTTCTCACATGGTTGACATTCAAACTTGCCCATCCTCAGGACTCTGCTCTTAGAAATGGAGGAAAGAGATGGCATTCCAAGCTAGGGACAGGCGTGGTGACTCTGCCTGTTCAGCCGGGGGATACAACCAACCCTCCCAGAGAGTGTCCGCTTTGTTTCCAGAAGTTATGAGCCCCAAAGGTCTCTGGCAGGGATGGGGGCACCATTTTCTAAACTCTTGAATTTTCTAAACTTTTCCTCAAATGGCAGCTGTGTAGACAACGGAATAAACTGCTTTGCAAGTCAAATTTTAAGTTTCAAAGGCGTAATTGTCTACATCTGTGTAAATTCCAGCACAAAGCTGTGCCAGAGAGGAGATTCTGAGAGTTCAGGACAGGACAAGGTAGACAGCTGGGACAAGACTAACACCCGGCCATGCTCACTTCCTCCTTTCCCTTTGTCCCTGAATCTGCAGTCTCTGGACATACGTCTTCTGAGTCTCCTTTTATTCACAAGCACAGTTTCATGAAAAAGAAGGTGAACAGAATCCAAACAGAATAAAGGCTTATAGACTGTAGGTGTTAGTATTTATAAATGATTTTATTTGGTTTGAGCTTCTACACTGTGGCTGAAAGTAAGGCAGTTTACACACACACACACACACACACCTACCTCAAATCTAGGACATGGACTATTGCATAAATCTGTGAGAGAGGACATCACTTTTAGCCTTCATTCCTTTGACATCCAGTTCCAGGGCTTGATATTATTAAATTGCACCAAGGGATCTGGAGGAAGGCTTAGAAGGATTAGACAAGTGAAGTGGTACTTGACTAGGCAGGAGTAGGAAGAAGGTGAAAACCAGGGAGAAGGGAATCAAGATGAATGGCAGGGCACAGAAATATGACCCTGTGGGATAAGGGCTAGGAAAAGGTAGAGAGAAGAGGCTTTTTGTAGTTATACAAAATGAGTCAGGTTCAAGTTCAACAGGCATTTATCCCCACCCCACCCCCAGAAGCTTTTATGGATCTCAGTT